GTTGCAGAGGTTACAGGCGTGTATGACACATCAACTTGACATGCATTTTTATTCCTTCTGTTCCTTTTTCTTTTTCTATTCAAGGGCCTGTTTTCCCCTTGAATTTCTCTTACTGATAAATGCTGTTAAACTGACCAAAGCGTTTCAGAGTGAGTCTTCATTTCTCAAACAGCCACAGCTTGCTCTATTGTGCAGATCTACCATAAGTGACTTCCGTAACTACTCCCTCCGAAAGGATGGCTATTTGGGTGGCTTCTGATCTTTTTATATCACAAACAGAGCTGAAATCAATCATCTTGTATAGGTGTTTTTTTTTTTTCTTCAAGACTGCACACATCTATCTAGGACAAATACCTAGCAGTGGAGTATGTTGGGCCAAATAACAATACTAATTACAAAATCATATACAGCTTTCACTGTGACTCAGGCACTAAGGTAAGCCCTCTGTGTATTCCAGCCTACTCATTTCATATTCTTAACCACCCTATGAGGAAAAGACTGTTATTATCTCCTTTATAGATGAGTACGCTGTGGCACAAAGAGGTTTAATAGCCTGCACAAGGTCACGGAGCTAGCACAGGGCAGAGGCAAGCAGTGTGGCTGTTTTTAGACATCATGTTCTCGTTTTTTCCTGGGAATGTAATTGTGCTTTACGTAGACATACATCGTCCTTTATTCTGGTTCTGCCGATTTCTTTTCTTCTTGGCATTACTGCGCATTTTTATCAACAGACCCTCTGCTTATGAATTATAGGTGGAAATGAATCTTGATGTAGTATTAACTTGTTCTTCTCTTATAGCGACAGATACTGAGTATTCTCATAAGCACTCAGTAGCCACGTTTTAACGTCTGTGTGACTCTCCATCTGAGCTTTTATGTATGCTTCTACGGTGACTTCAGTCTCCTTCTTACTGACACGGAGAAGGATATCTTTATGTATTAGAGATAGAGTTTGACTTGGAGCATAAATTAGAAATGTCTTTTCCTACTTTGTTTCTTATATTTTACATTGTTTATACTTTTCTCTGGGAAATGTTTTTGATATACACAAAGCCAAATTATTAATCTCTTAGGGATTCTTGATTTTTTTTTTTCAAATAATTCAGGCTCTGAAGAGAATCTTCCTATTTTTTTCTAGTGTTCGGATGGTTGAAGTTAATAATTAAACATCAGACTCATTTGGGATTTATTTTATATGATGGACATATGAATCCAGGTTGCTGCTTTCTTTGGGGTTACCCAGGCTGCCATTTTGAAAAGAACAGCATTTCCTATTGTGCTATGTGTACAATTAGGTCCTCTTAGAGACTTCCCATTTTATTGTGTTCAAATTTTCTGTCTATATATGTATTAAATATTACCCTATGTGTTGAAGCCCTATATTATAACATCCAGTAGGGCTCCACCATTCATTGCTCACTTGTGTGTTGTGTCATGTGTGGCTATGTGCACCAGTGTGTGCATATGCAGTGGTCAGAACATGACTTAGAATGTTTTTCTGTGTTATTCTCATCCTTATTGCCTTGAGGCAGGGTCTTGAATTTAGAGCTTGCTGTCTTGTCTAGGCTGTTTGGCCTATAGTGAGCTCCTGGGGTCTGTCTGTTCTTATTGCTTCACATGCTGGGGTCACAGGAACACATAGCCATGCCGGGATTTTTTATGTAGGTCCTAGGGATTTGAACTCAGGTCCTCAAGCTTACAAAGCAAGTGCTCTTAACCACTGAGCCATTGGCCTCTCCCCAGGCACCATAGTAGTCTTAATTTCTACAGTTTGCTTTATTATGTTTGCTTATTAAAAACTTAATAAGCAACCTTTTAGCTTTGATCAACCAACCAAGATCAGAAGTTCGAGGCCATCTTCAGTTACAAAGAGAGTTCAGGATATGAAACTTGGGTCTCAAAACCCAAAACGAGACAAAGAAGCAAGCAAGCAAACCAAAACCCAACCAGTCATCAATGGGGGAAGCTGTCACATGTTCATATACAATTCAGAGAGAACACACATTTCTGTATTACTGACAGTATTCAATGAAACAAATGACATACATCATGGGATTTTTTTTGGGGGGGGGGTTCGAGACATGGTTTCTCTGTGTAGCCCTGGCTGTCCTGGAACTCACTCTGAAGACCAGGCTGGCCTCGAACTCAGAAATCTGCCTGCCTCTGCCTCCCAAGTGCTGGGATTAAAGGCGTGTGCCACCACTGCCCGGCTTATCATGGAATTATTAGGTCAAACACATTTCTATGTTTTAAAAAAGAATAAGAAGAATATGAAAAAAAAACCCATCTTGGAGAAATGGTGAAGAAATGGCTTCAAATGGTAGAACCAGTCAGAATTAAGACATTTGAACCCAGGGCACGGGTGGGCAAAGTCAACATCTCCTTCAAACAGCAAGTCAAGAGCTCAAAGACAGAAACCTAACATGGATTTAAAGTTTCCTTTGTGAGAAAACACAAGAACACCGACAACCGAAGCACCCCACGTAACTACCACAAAAACTAGCAATTCAGGGGTTAGCCACCGAGTTCACGGTAAATTTTTTCCCCCTTATACTGAAAATATAATTCCTTATTTCTGCCTCACTGCCACCTCTCCTTCGTGAGTAGCTTGTCTAGAACACTTTTGAAAGTAGTAACAAGAGCTGGATGTCGTCTCAGTACCCAAGAGGCTGAAGCAGGATGATTGCTGCAAATCTGAGGCTAGCCTGGGGCAGCCTGAGCTACCAAGCAAGACACTGACTCAAAACAAGAAACAAAATGGTAGTGAAAAGTGTTATCCTAGGCTGGGGAAGAGATGGCTAACAGTAGATACTGTTACTCTTGAGTTCATTTAAGTATTTTAAGTAAGCAATCAAGTCAAATTTCACATTTTCGTTTGCTTGTTTGCTTGCTTGCTTGTTTGTTTGATTGGTTTGAAACAGGGTTTCTTTGTGTAGCCCTGGTTATCCTGGAATTCACTTGATAGACCAAGGTGGCTTCGAACTCAGAGATCTACCTGCCTCTGCATTAAAGGCGTGTGCCACCACTGCCTGGCTGACATTTCACAAAAGTTTTATAAAACAGCAACAAAAAAAAGTTTATATTTAAAACAGTAAAAAGGTGTTGAGAACTAATAACATTTAGCTGTCCTGAGAATTCAGTTAAACACTCTGCACCCATTCCTGTGTCTTATTGTTAGTTACAAAGGCAAAGATGTCACATGTTGCTAATCTTGAAAGGGACTCCACCCTCATAGGTGTTCTCTGGCAGGGGTGTGGAATTGCCAGTCAGCCACGCCATTTCCTTGAGCACATAGTATATACGGGATACTCACTAGGAAGTGAATGATAGGGACATCCTTCTTTGTGTCTGTGAAATAAAGCTATATTTACTTGTAATAGCATTTTTCTTGTTGTTGTTGTGTATGTAAATGTGTGTATGCGTGTGTGTGTGTGTGTGTGTATGTGTGTGTGATGTATAAGTGTGTGTGAATGTGTATGGTGTGAATGTGTATGTGAATGTGTATGTGTATGGTGTGAATGTGTATGGTGTGAATGTGTGCATGTGTGAATTGTGTGTGTGAATGTGTATGTGTGTGTCAACGTGTGTGTGTGAGTTGTGTGTATATGGGTATGAATGTTTGTGTGTGTGTATGTGTGTGGTGTGAATGTGTATGT